GTAAAAAGTGTGATGTGAGGAATGAAAGGGTGCCGAGCAGGGTCTGTGACCACAGCAGGCCCCAGTCCATGGCGGCACACCTTTCCTATTCTTCTCCCTGGTACCAGATGGCTCTGGAGGGACTTCTCTTTGTTAGAGAGATGGGTACCCAGAGCCAAGCACACACAGTGGGAATGGCCATGAGCTGAGCAGGGTACCACTGGGCTGAGCAAGGCTGGGGACAGCAGGCTTTCTCAGGACTGTCTGTGGGCTACATGCGGGCTCTCTGGGGGGGAACCGCACAGTGTCTATGTTTAAACCCATGGACCTTCTAACCAATCACACACAGACACCAGAGGCGGACAGTGATATTTGTACCCAGCTGCTCACACTAGCCTGATGGGAAATAATGCAAAGCAAGATGAACCCCAGAAACAACCTAAACTCCATCAGTGGGATACCTCTGTATGTAAGGTAGCACACAGACATGAAAAAGAATGCACTGGATCCCAGAGTGTGACACAGAATGGTCTCCCAGATAGAAAAGGTGCCAAAGCCATGGCTTCATAGATTTTTAATTCTGTCCTTTGGACAGAAAGGAACTACTGAAAAGTTAGAGGATATAAAGATTGAATTAGAGACAGAGAAAGATAAACTAGAGATGAGAGAGAGAGAGCGAGAGAGGGGGGGGAATAGACAAGCAGGCTGCTATAAACTGAGTGTTTGTGTCTCCCCGAAATTCATATGTTGAAGTCCTAGTCCCCAAGGTGATGTTATTTGGAGGCGGGGGCTTTGGGAGATGATCGGGTCATGAGGATGGAGCCCTCACGAATGGGATTAGTGTCTTTATAAAAGAGACCCCAGAGAGCTCCCTCACCGCCTCCACCACGGGAGGACACAGGGAAAAGACAGTCAGTCTTCTGTGAAGGAAGTGGGTTCTCACCAAGCGCCACATCTGCTGGTGCCACATTCTTGCACTTCTCAGCCTCCAAACTGTGAGGAAGAATTATTGGTTGTTTCTAAGCCACCCAATATATAACATTTTTGTTGTAGCAGCCTGAACGGACTACGACACAGGCATATGCTTGCATTTGCATATAACATTTCTTGAAGGAAACGGAAGGAATTGATAACTCTTGTGTCTAAGAAGAATCTTAGTTTTCATTCTATATGCTTTGCTAGTGTGTGACTTTTTTAACCGCAAATATGAATTGTGGTAATAATTATAATAATAACAATGGCTAGTTAACAATAAGGAATGCATTGAGAAGTTTTCCCCATACCTTAGCTACGTAATCGGCTTCCTAAACAGAGCCAGTATATAAACGGTTAAGAACCGGAAGTTATCACCAAACCACATCTCCTCTTCTTAAAGGTATTAAGGAAAACTGGAGACACAGTGAGCGCTCCAGTTGAAATCAGCTGAGGATCAGGAAGAACGTGGCTCCATAAACAGCTCCTCTCTCTGTCAACAGAGCCCAGAGCTCAGCCACCAAACTCTAGGACCCACGTTCTTTCCCCATCAGATCCCAGAGCTGGTGGGAGACTTCTAGACAGATGGCAGAGGTGTTAAAAATAGAAGTTAAGTTGCTATTGGAGATACATGGAGAATTCACCGCTTGCAAATCTCTAATTATAATATGTCAAGAGTAAAATACCTTGTCAGGAGGGGTATCTAATAGAAGACAGCGTTGCCTCTGTCAGCACAGTGATCCATGATGTGTTTGGTGGCTTCACATTAAATAGACATTCAGCAGAAAGACGTCCTGCGGGGACTCATCTCAGCCCTCGGGGGATGGAGAGGATGGCCTGGGAAGTCTTCTCTTTCTGTCTGCACTTTCCTCGGCTCTGGCTGGGAGCTCTGGGTGAATCCTGCTTTCTTTTTACAGATTCTGCACTTTGTGTTAAATCATGTGCATATATTAGATGTTCTGGGAGCCTACCAGATGGATGGATCTTTTCTCTTACCCAAAACGACTCAGTTTTTCAAAGAAGTGATGGCCCCTACAGGACCCTCAGATGGGCATGAAGCACTGTGCTGGTCTGTCAAAGGACAGAGTTACTCCAGGTACAAGGCTGCCCTGTGGGGAATAACTTAGGTATTTAACATGGAGCCATGTGTCCTGGGGTTGCGAGAACCATGCGTCTGTCCCACTCGGGGGTGAAGTGAAGAGCAGGTGCCCTCCGTAAGTGCGCAAGGCTGCAGAGACAACTGGAAGAAACTTGCCATGGACTATGTTCTGCTTGGTCAGGTCAGGGAAGTCCAACACAAAAGCAGGTCATGGACAACAGAAACAGCTCCCCTTTTGGCCAAAGAGGGAAAAGCAGAGGCAGGTGATTATTTGTAGCTGCAAACAAGATGGCCCCCTTTACAATGGCTGCACACTCCCCCAAACCAGCCAACTGTACACGTCCTAAGACTTCCTTTAGGATCAGCCACAAAGCCCACCTGCTTCACCTTATACTGACTGTCTTTCCTTGGAAGCTTTCTGTAGCAGGGTGGACCACTCAAACATTGCTGGAATACACAAAGTAGCCGGACCTCCAGCCCCACCACAACGTCACCTCTTCGAACTCGGAAAGGCACCCCTCGTCATGTGCCCTAGACCCACTGCCTCTTTTCAGTTCTTTGACTAAGCCCAGGTCTTTCCACCCTCAGGACCTTTGACATTGGTGTTCCATTTGCCTGGATGCTTTGTCTTTTCCTCTTAAATATCATGTCCTTGAAGAACTGTTCCCTGCGTAGACTACTAATTTGCAGGCAGTTCTTCTACTCTTTTTTCATCCTCCCACACCACCTGTCTTCCTTAAAAGCATGTATCATAACGTGTGTTTATATGGCTATTTGATTGCTATATGTTCACTCTCACACTAAGTTACAAGAGGAAAAGATCACCCTGTTTGGTTCATCCGCATCACCCAGGATGAGTCCTGATCATAACAGATGCTAATGCTTAATAAATATTTGTGAATGAATGACTGAATCTTCCATAGCAGTTTGCATGGTTGGCATGTGTTGAGACTTAATAAATGATGCCTGATTGGACTGTTTTTAGTCCTAAAACAACTTCCTCAAGCCCTACCACCACTGATTATCACAAAACAACCAACACAAATAAGCAGCCACCCCATCGCTGCCACCTGGTCGTCAACACAACGATACATGCTTGCTGAATCAGCAATCCCACCTAATGAACCCATCCCTAAGTTACAGCAGCCAAAAAAGGACAGTAGCAGTGTTATTCACAACAGCCAAGAGGTAGAAGCAACTCAAATACCCAACAGCAGATGAATGGGTAAACAAAATGTGTCTATACATTCAGTGGAATGGTATCTGGCCGTTAAAAAAAGAATGAAGTCCTGATACATGCTACAACAGGGGTGAACCTTGAAAACATTCTGTTCAGTGAAAGAAGGCAAACACGAAAGGTCATATGTTGTGTGATTCTATTCTTTGAAAAACCCAGAATAGACAAATCCATCAAGAAAGAAAGCAGATTAGTGGTTCCCAAGGACTGGTGGGAGGGAGGAATGGAGAATGCCTGTCTAAAGGATACTGGGTTTCCCTTTGGGGTGCTGAAAACACCTGGGACCCAGACAATGGTGATAACTGGGCAACACTGTGAACGTGCTGAATGCCACTGGATGATGGTATTCATTAAAATGGGAAATTTTGTGTTATATGTATTTGGGCACAATAACAAAGGAAGGAAAGGCAATAGAAGGATTTAAAATGTATATTATTAAAAAAATTCTCCAAACTTAACCTTCAAACACCGTGAGGTACCAGGTAGCAAAGTTAGTCAACAGTGACTTTCAGTGACAAGAAACACACCACGCTTCAAACCAATGAACTGCTTCACAAATACTAGTTTTTCAGAGGCCTGAGATCGGGAGAAAGAGGCCCAACTGCCTTGTACCTACAAAATGCTCTGGACTTTGTAGCTTGAGTGCGCCCAGGCTTATAAAGAACTCTGCAGAACAGGATTTCCTAAATGTACACATACCTCTTGGGGTAGGCACGGTGCATGGTTATTTTAGGTGGTACACAAATGAACAGTGTGCAATCCGAACCACTATTTTTGCTTAGGGTTACCGTTCATGAGCAGCCAGCAACACCAGTTCCCATTGATGGCAGTGAAAGTTTCTTTTCAGTTTGTTTGTGTGTTTTCAATCCATTTCATCCATTTGCATGCAATAAAATGGACTTTTTTTGGATGCATAGAGAGCTGTGTTACCTCCACCATCAAGATACAGAACAGAGCAGTCCCACTGCCCTGCAAAATTCTCTCTTGCTGCTCCTTGGCAGCCCAGACCACCTGCACCCCAGGGAGCTCAGCCATAAAAAAGACACCAGAGTCACAAGCCACAACATAGGTGAGTCTCAAATGAATTAGGCCAAGAGAAGGAGGGCTGGGTTGGCAAGGAGGAGTAGCTACAAATGGACAGATTTGCTCTGGGGGTGCTGGAAATATTCCTAAAACAGAATCTGGCAATGGCCGCACAATCCTGTACATACACTAATAACCTGTGAATTGTACACCTAAAACAGGTGAATTTTACTGTATGTAAATTGTATCTCCCTCCAACCATTAAAAAAGATGACAGAGTGTATGCCTTCATCGAGATGACATAATTCCAGAAAAAGCAAAACGAAAGAACAAAAAATAGATGAAAGTTTATACAAATACATGCAGTTTAGGGAAAATGTGTTGATTTAAAGAAGGACTAAGAGAGGGTGGATGCT